AACAAAAGCCAAAACAATATGGATAACTATAGGTAACAATCACAAGATCATAGTGAATAACAGCGAAAGATGAGTTGAGATAATTAGAATTAACCACATACCACACAAGGGGAATAATAGACTAAAGCATATCCATAGTACGGACAAACTTCACAAAACAATAACAGTTATCAACTCTTTCTATTATAAAAGAATTCTTAAAATTGAAACTTAATTAGGATAATGAAGCAAGGCAAGAGGCGAGGAACATTACTTGTAACTAAAGATATCATGCATGATCATGATATAAAAGAATACAATGTAAGAGTCAAAGGCAAATAGGATTACCGCATCTTCTATAGAGAAGCCCTTGGTCCATTTTATAAGATTCCCTGATGAAATTGATGTTTGTCTAACTGGAAATGAGAAAGTAAACCCCAACTCTCTTTGTCTCCCAGGTGAAACATGAAGTCCTTCACCCTCTGTAGCAACGAATTTTGCAAGGGCTTCAGCAATATATTCAAACAATCCTGAAATCGCCATTATTAAAGATTTCAGAGCATGAACCAACTAGCTAGGTCAAATTTTATTAGACTGGAGTGCTAAAAACACTCACATCTGAACTCCAGTCATCAAAGTGTGAGGAATTGAAACTTCCTCAAATTCTTGTTTAACACACGGCCTTCTTGCCCACCCAACAGTACACGTATGACACGGAAGTTTGTGCCACCAAGGTCCAACGCATAGTACACCCCTTCTCTCCCTTTAATTAAGGCAGTAAGTGTCGTGCATGTTAGACTAAATTTTCATCAGCACAAAAGATCCAGAAAGTTAAAGTACTACTACAGCATGAAAAATCAACCACAGATAAGCAATTTTTCTACCATTCAAGGAACACCTATGGTCTCTCTTTTTCAAAAATTCCATTTTATTTCACCTCTTCTATTACTAGAAATACTTCATCCACAAAATGGCTACAATGATTATAAGGGATCCCCCTATTCCCTTGCCACTGAATTCCGTTGCAAAGAGCAGTTCATCAACCAATTGCTCAAAACAGGTTCTTATTCTCCATGATTAATCAGCTGAATTCATATTCAACACAAGCAAGAGAAAAACAATTCTCATGCAAGGCACTCCATTCACCCATTCAATCAGACAATGATAGCATCTAAGGAAATCGGTTGGGAAATCAAATTATAACAGAAACTACTAAAAGAATGATAGCTTCAATATCCGTAACCTGGAAATTAGAGCCATTTCCATAAAGAGAAATGATAAACTAGTCTTTACCAGGATAAATAACAGCCAATTGATATAAAAAGGTTAATTACAAGAGAATAACGTCAAACATGGAAGTCAGAAATGGAACTTCATAAACTCTGTCCGACTGATATACAAAACAAATCAAGTTTGCTCATCTGTCAATGTGAAGTACATTCCACTTTAATATTCTCTCAAAAATTTGTAACTTTGTTAAAACATAATATAAGTATTACATAAATGGCCAAAAAAGGATGAATAATTGCAAGTAAATATTTCGTCTAGAGCTAATGGAAAAATCAATAATATATAAGAAAGATTATGAATGAAGGACTAGACATAAGCTTAAAAGTCAAAAAGTAATGAAAATTTAGATTGTAGATACTACCGAAAGATTATAAAATTCAATCCAAAACAATAAAGGAATTTAAAAGAAGGACAGGTGGGTATAGGAGTAATATGGATAAAGGAAAGAATAACAATAAACACTAAAGGAACTACAAAAGGAGAAAGTTAGACTGCACAAAATGCAAATGCTAGATTTACTATAATATCAACACATCAAAGCAAAATTCGCCAAATTCCAATCAAACAAAAAGTAAAGCTTGAAATTGACAGGAATATGCCGTTCCAATGAAAAATTTCATTTGAACCATTTACTCAAGCTTTTTACATCAAATTTGGAAGAAGCACCATGTAAAGAAGGTTTTATTGAAACGAAATCAGATACTTTTTCATGATAGAGTTGCAAAACAATATAACAACCTTATTTCTCCCAAATTAGAATCTTTAACTAATATAGAGTACATGTAGCAAATTCTAAAAATTTAAGTTACGAATTGATTAGAACAAGAAAATCACTTATTCTATACAGGTAAATGAAATAATAATAACAAGAAGTAATACAGGCAACAGAGGGTAACAAAACGAAATTTAGAAGACATAGAGATTAAAAAACCATGAAGCCAACCATAAAATAACATGATTATAAGGAGACTAATTAAAGCCATACAAAAATAAGTCCTAAATGTTTAATTCCCTTCTTAGTCTTTAAAAAAAATCTCTTATAAATACCAATAAAGTAAACAATCAACTAAAATACCCCAAAAAAAAAAATAAATAAATAAATATAAAAAAAATTATTTGAGAAATCCAACATATCGGAAAATTTTGTTTTATTTTTTTATTTGTTGGCGGTAACCGTTAAAGTGAGAAGATTATAACTAAATAAACGATAAATTACAGTAACTAAAATGCCGAAATAAATAATACTTGAAAAAAAAAAATACGAACTATCATGAAAAAAAAAAAAAAAAATTGAGCGTGTTTGGTTGTTGCCCACCCAGTGGGCAGATTGTCGACGTAGCTGATAAGCATCTGGAGCTTACTACCACCCTCCGATCAAGGCCAGCGTGCATCTCAACGGTCATCGCATCAGCCACCTGTCTGAGCTTCCCAATTGGGGTCCCACATTTCTCCTCCATATCTTTCAATATAGCCATGGCCTTGGCCCACCCCCGAACACTTCATCCTATGCCGCACCACCAGCGCCGCCGCCGCACACACAGCTGCCGCCATATGACCGTCGCCCCAACCGCCACTTTCCCCATGACTACTCACAGAAATACAAAAAAACTAAAGAAATTTGACTTCTTGGCTCTTTGCTCCCACCTAGACTCAAAGTGATCGACTTTGATTAAATTAAAGATTGTTTTTGTTACAAAACTTAGAGAAAACCCTAGATCGAGCTGTTAGAACTTGATAATTGAAGTAAATAACTAAATATATTATTACTCAATCAAATATACTATTTTATTCAAAAATAATTCTTTTAATAACATTAAAAATGTAAAACACTTTTAATTGGATCATAATTCCAATTATTCACTTAATTGATCAAAACTTTAATATTAGTGTATTATAATATATTAAAGCTTTTAATATGGTGTAATTTATATGTAATAAGTATAATTGTATTTGTATATTTATTTAATTAGGTTATTCTAAAAATTTAACTTTTTCTATTTTAAATTTTTTTATATGTAAAATAATAGAAACTTCCCCATTTACATTTCACAAATATTTCATTATAGTCCAGGTTCCAAAATATGTTCTAAACAAGTTCTAAAAACAGGTTCCAAAACAAGTTCCAAACAGGTTCCAAAACAGGTTCCAAACAGGTTCCAAAACAGGTTCCAAACCGGGTACCCCCTACAGGTTCCAAACAGGGTATCCTTTTTACAGGTTCCGGTTCCGGTTCCTCCACATGCAAGAACCGGAACCGAAACTGCACAGTAGCGGTTCCAAAAAATTGGAACCGGAACCTACCCGCACAGTGCAGGTTCTGGGTATGTTCCGGTTCCGGTTCCGGTTCTTATCCCTGGTTCCGGTTCTATCCGCTACCCGTGCTCACCCCTAGGTAACGGTATTTACACCCTATGGTGTGTTTGGTTCGCAGTCATACAAGATTACTCCGGTAATCTTCGTTTAATTTTCAAGATTCCCTTGTTTGGTTTACAAGTAATAAAATATTACAGTAATATTTTATTGTAAATAATATTTACTGTTAGTAATATAGGGGATAATCAGATTACCTTGCTAGAGGGTATTATTAAAAAATTATCTAGGTAATCTGATTTTTATACATATTTTACCCATAATTAAATATCATTTCTAACACAAATGTCTACCAAATAACCATTATTAAAACCTCTTACATTTGAGAATTTCATTAAAATACCCTAGCCACAAAAAAAGTTTAAAAGTTAACAAAATATCCCTAGTCATCCAAGACCACCATCGATCTGGCTATTTCCAACCTTCAATCTGGCCGAAAACAGCCAAATCACGACCACGTCTTTGGCCATGAAATAGCCTTACCAGTGCACGACCGACTAAATCCGACTGGTTGTGCGCCATTCGAGTGACTATCGATGGCACCAGTGGTGGTGCCTAGCTGACTATAGTGGCTTGGGGTAGATAGGGGTGATTTTGCTATAAATTAAAGTTTTGTATAGCTGGAGTGTTTTAGCAAAATTTCAAACGTATGGGTTTAAAAAAATAATTCAAAAAGTAATAACATATTAATATTTTAAAAGTAGAGTAATTTAATAATTCATATAACATATCCACTCATTTAGCTCTCGACTAAACATATCACTATAACATAACCACCAATTTATTTCAACCTAGTCAAACACATTTCTCTAACATTTTCAGTGATCTTCTAGATAATCTATTTTTCCATTAATATAACATTTCTAATAATACAACATTCACTGACCCAAACGCACCCCTAAAGCCAATGATTTTCATTTTAGAGGCTTCTCAACCCTTCCGAACACAATAAGAATTAAGGAATGAATATTTAATGACTTATGTAAGCATCCGAGTGATAATTTAACGTTCTTAGTTGAGATACTCATACTTCAACCCTCCGTAATACCCAACAGAAGTTAAAGAGTTTGAAACGATGGATGAAAACTACATCAGTAATGTAATCTTTTCATGCTCAGCTCAGCTAGAATTACAAAAGTTGTAATCACAGCGCTAGCCATAACCTTGATGAACGTACCCTAGTTTGTGAGAAAGGAATTCGGCCAGATGGGGTTCCTCATAATAAGTAGGCACAAATGACCAGCAAAAAAGAGTCGGTTCAGACTGTAATATCCACAATCCTCAAATAATTTTTATACCCCGAAAAGAGAACAAAGAGTTTTTGTTGCATGCCTAGAACCCCTTGCCCCAAAAGAAAAATAGAAAAAAAATCAGTTCTTTAGATTGCACAAAAGTAAAAAACAAGCTGCAACTGCCAAAAGAATCCTGTTCAAAGAGAGAATGTTCCGCCAAAAGTAACAACTCAAAAAGAAGAGTTTACATCTCCCATTTTATTCTTTAATTGGGGAGAAATCATCTTATACACTTGTGTACCAACATAGTTCCCAGCCTTTGGAGGAGAGAGAAAAAAAAAAAAGGAGGGGGGGTGAATAAAAGCAGAATGACAGGCCACAGCCTGAAGCTAGCAGCCAACGAATGGGTACCCTGATTGCACATTCGATCCATTACTCATTATACACGCCATATGACCATAAATTAGGGTGTCTAGCGTGATGGGTGTAAAAAAGCTCAAAATAAAGCGCAGAGAGATAAAATAAACTGCAAATGTACGAAGTTAAATTGTTGAAAATGACTCATCAACACCAAGGTATTGGGAGTGAGAGGCTGCAAGGAGTGCAGCTCCGATGCCAGAACCGTCATTTGAGAGCTCAATTGTGATGTTCTCAGAGACTTCCTCTCCCAGCATCTCCTTGACCGTGCTCTTCATGCAAGCACTGAATTTCATGTAGTGCTCATACAACCCGCCATCTAAAGCTATTACTGACTTCTGCTTTTCCCCATCTTTCACTGTGTCTCTGCCTAATTTCTTCAGGATACCGACAATGCCTGCGGCAGATAAACGGGCACCCCGAGTTGCAACAATGTCACAGAGGCTCACAATAACTTTTCTCATTTTCAGGGAGGTATTGGGTATCTGACACATAAAGAAGAAAACAGAAAGTAACATATAAGACTGAACCATATTTTTTCTACTAATAGTAATAGTTAAGTTCTAAATGGTGATCACTGTGCTCTTGAGTGAATCTTGTTCGAAGCAATATTTTTCTTACATAAAAATAAGACAATAAAAACAGATATGGGAAGCTTGCACTTGAAACCGAGAGTTTTCAAGTTCTTGGCTTATTTATCTGATCCAAACAAAAAAGTTTTCCAGAGAAGAGAAATATAAAAATAACCAATAGGCTAGAAAAATAATTTTCCTGGGCTTTCGTCCAACATTATTGACAAGGTATAATACCTCTAATATATCCTTTAATTTTTTCCCAACCACTCTCAAATCTGAAGATGTATCATGATGCATTGCAGACATGTCTGGAGTCCTGCATGTTCCATAATAACAATGTAACAGCTACAGAAGCACACATATAAATGACAAATCAATGGGTGTATACTATTTCTAACAGGAAAAAATTAATTCTACAATGCATATACCTGAATAAAAGACATGCTAAAGATCACGCATTCCTACCAACATGATTAAACATGTAGCTGAAAATAGATTCATTAACAGCCACAAATTGAGTATAAATGCAACATTATAATACATTGTAACCTATTTAATTCTAAGAATAATATGTTTAATCTAGAATATTCTGAATGCCAAGAGGCCATAGAACAAGTTCGTTTGCAGTTAGAGGTTACATATCAATGTAGTGATGTCTTTCTTATATGGATTGCAGTGGACTTTCTTCATAAAAATTAACAACTTATTATGAAAATGAAAAGACAAGTTTTGACTGTTAAGTAACCATTAATTCTAAAAAATTAAGCTTCTAAGAAATGACAACATTAGTATCTAAGCCTGATCAAGTTATTCCATACTCAGAACTGAATTAATTATTGGACTCATCATGCAGATGCTAACATGCACAAACACAAGTAAATCCAAATAGAGGAAATACATGACCAAAAAGAAGGTATATAAATTTGAATAGAAAGAGATATGATAGCAGATAACCCACAAACAAATGGCACACCTCAATATGAATGGAATTTTCAGTTTTGGTGGAACAGTATCACCAAAAAAAGCAGCTTCTTCAGCCATCTGGCACAAAACTCTGCGCACAATTTCTCCCAAATACATACCAGAGATCACTTTTTCAAAAATCTGCAAGTAACAGTCACTGATGTTATGAGCCCATTACCACTATATATGCATGATAATCTCAAACCAGAAAAGGAAAGAAAATATAGCTACCTGTTCTCCAGGGTTCAAGCTTTCGACATCCAATGCTTGATCATATTCTGTTAGCGGAAGGTGCGATGACCGGAAGTTACCCCACTCCATGTTGATAACCTATAGTAATCAACATTCTTTTAGAAACAGAACATAGTTCACCATGAAATGATGATATTAGTTCAAAACACATGAAAATGTACAACAAACATTTGAGAAGTACTAACCATTTCCCCTGATTTAGGTAGAAGACCATGCCACTTAGGAATAGCATGTGCTCGTTCTACATATGCTGCATTAGTTCCAGTGCCCAAGATTACGGCAGAAACCACATCCTGATTTGAGTATCTACCCCCAGCTAATGTTCCAATAGTATCATTGACCTGCATCTCACAGTATGTTAAGAAACCCACACAACCAAGGAGACATTTGAAATAAGAAAAAATCTAAATGCAATATTATAAAGAACATTACTCAGAGAAGAGAAGAAACGAAGAACCGAACCAAACTGGACTTACCAAAGCTGCAACACGCATATCAAGACCAGCTCTTTCCATTGCTTTAGTCAATTCTCCAACTACATCTTGTCCAACCTACAACAGCCAAGATGGACCACAAAAAATATCTAAGTTCAAATATATATTAGACACATTGAAAAGTTGATAAATTAATTAATACAGCCATAGCAATAGAAACTATATACTATCATATCATGCTGAAATTTGACTGATGCATTTCAGACCAGCAATATCAAGATTATCATTGCACAGATATTATGAAGAAATTGCCTACCTACGAAACCTTAGCATATTTCAAACATTCAGGGAATATGTATTAGAAATAAAACAAACAACCATGCAGTCATTATTACCCACATACCCAAAACCTCTCTCTGAAGTTAACACATTAATTGCATGGCTACTAACATACATTTCCATGTGAGGCCCACTATCTACTACTTTCATGAGGGTCCAAAACTCAACCAGCACAAATAGAAGATTCCAATAAAAAAAAATAGTTAATAGAAATTGCAGTGGTGTGAGTTGCCAATGACTTGACACATCATATACACAGGATGACACTTATAAGAGCAGTTTTAGTAGCACTCTATAATGACATTGTGCTAAAATCATAGAGATGTGTGCATGCGTAGGCACATCATGATATATTAATAAAACAGTAAATGCTCCAAAAAGAATCACCCTCATGATGCAAATAACTGCTTTCACTACAAAGCTGAATAGCCCATTATCAATCAGAATGAAGAAGTTGACCTTGAGAAGGGATTGAGAGGGCATAAGAAAACAACTACTATGCAACAACATGGTTTATACAGCACATTAGCAGAATTAAAACACTCTGCACCAATTTGGAACACAAAGGAAGGTGCCAGTTATAGCAATGGGAGTTTCAAAGCACTCCACATTGCCCTTGGAATTATGTTTCTAGATCATAATTTTAAGTAGACTGCATATATTTCTTAAAAAAAAAAAAAAAAAAAGGACTACTGCACAATTTTTCTACTTAAGTAACTCTTATATATGAGGATCAAGAGATGGTTGGTAACCTAGAAAAAATTCAAGGATATACCATATATACAGTATCAGACAATTTTGAAAATAAAATTATCAGTCAACCAAATTCTACAAGAATATCCTTTAGTTCTGGCATTAATTAATCTACACAATTAACAAAAGCCAAAAACATATCCATATGAACAAATCAAATTATGCTTAGAATCTGAAGTGCTATAAGGAAAGGGTAACCAGGTTTGTTTAGCTGAAGGACACACAAGACCATGAAATGAGGGTAATGCAGTGTGTTCAATAGACTTAGACAATAGGATGAACAAGTGGCAAGGTTGAATAAGACCATGTGCTAACCTTTGATGCCATAATACAAATTTGTGAGATAAAGATGTAGTCATAAGTGAAACAGGAAAAACATGCCTTTATTCAATTGCAAATCATGAGGTACAACTTTTGATGAATGCAAAACGTTACAAGTAGATTTATTCAACTTTCCTAAAGACTAAGGACGAAAACGACAATTTTGGATCATAAAATAAAGGCCTTGACTATGCTTACCATCCCCTTCAACTTGCCATTGCAAAGATCGAATGAGGCAAAAATCAGGATAGAAAGTAACGAAAAAATTGTTGAAATAGCAAGTTTTGAAACAGAAGTAAATTGTTATGAAAATCTGGGACATATAAGACATTTGGTAAGTGTAGGTTATCATCTAGAACAATATCCACATTTGTAACATATATTTTTGTTCCATTCGGTAAAACTACAAGGTATTTGGAAGAACGTTCTATGGCATGGAATATTTCAACATAGACTGATTAAAAGTCGTTGATCAGTTGCTCCAGTATCATTATCCAGTTATTTTCATCAAAATATGATAGCAAGGCCATAGAATTACCTGTAAGATTTGCAGTTGAAGGCGATACATTCTCCTTTCCTAGCAACTGAAGAAGAATTTGAGTATACTGTTCAGTAGTCAAATTGGTCCAATTGTTGCATTAGTGTTTCCAATATCGATTTTCCAACATCTAACGACTCAGATCTCGCACTTGATAAGCCGAAGCTTTTGATTTAGAAGTCTGTCCCTTGTGAATTGATGTCAGGTGGAAATCCATTTAGCTTATAGCAGGTTTCACGCTTATGTCCAGGGATGTGACAAAACTCACACTCGATATATGGTTTTTTTCCCTTATACTTCTGTCCCTGACTTTGCCCTTTACCATTTCCATTATTATGTGCATAAATGCAGTAGACACTTCGAATTCAATTCATTCCAGCCATAATTTTTTGACTCTTATCTTGATTGACAATAGAAAGCTTGTTTCACTGTCGGTAAGGGGTTCATAAGCAAGATTTGACTTCGAACCATGAAGTATGAATCATTCAGCCCCATAAAAAATTGTAACACTTTCTGTTGATTCAAATGCTCCAATAGGCCTTTGCCAAAGCACTATCAGGTGTAGGTAAGTTTACCAAAGAATCAAGCTCATCCCAAAGTGACTTGAGCTTTTATAGTAAATGGCTACCGCGGTGGTTCCTTGGGTTAAATTCACAATTTCCCGATGAAGAGCAAACACTCTAGTTCCGTTCACTTTGTGGTATTGTTCTTTCAATCTTGCCAAACTTGTGCAGTGCTTGTTGAATAGACTATTCCATTAAAGATTTCCTTTGACACCGAATTAAAAATCTAAGCAAGGACCAATGAATTACACCTCTCCCATTGTGGAATCAAGTTAGAGTGTACAGATGACTTAGTGCATTTGCCATTAACAAACCTTAGCTTGTTCTTAGCACACACAGAGACTGTCATTGCTCTACTCCAGATCCATAATTTTCAGAACCAATCAACTGTTCTGAAACCAATATAGACCTGGTGTGTCTGATGGATGTATGTAAAGCGGTGAGTTGGGTCAATGAGGGAATATTTACTCCTTCTGTCGAATTCGCTATAATATCCTTAAACTTCAAAACCCAAGTCGGATCAACTAAAGACTATGAAATATGAAATTTAAGAACGAGAAGAGAAATTGACAAACTCAAAGCTTCTTCAAATTTGTCTAAGATGCAAGAATGGGCTTTAATTGACCTGGGTTTTGATTTGAAGCGGAAGTTTGGTGCTCTGATACCATGTTGAGAGAGCAAAAGAAACAGAGGAAAGCTAAAATTGGGCAAAATATCGATTGACTTTATTATAAAAAATGGTTTCTTATATACAACTAACTGTAGTTACATTTGAGCTGAGTTGAAGTAAGCAAAACTAACTACTAAGCAACTCTAACAACTAACCATCGATTAACCAAAATAACTTACAACATTTTTTGACTAAACTACCCTTATATTGCAATAGTAATGGTACTTTTAGCCATATGTAAATATTTCAATGTTCTTCACTTTGTCATATTTGGTGAGAATTTGAATATGAATGCTTCATAAGCTTTCCAGTCCTGGAACTATTTTGGGCAATAACCTGAAAGATGTTTTGACTTATTATTATATTTGCCATAAAAGTGTACACTTCTGACAAATACTTTTCTTTGTGTGTATATATATGAAAATTATCATTTATTTTGCTTGTGCTACCATTCAAAGCTTAGGAGAAGATATCAGGGATGTGTTTATCGGACAGGATCCGCAGTCTCTTTTATGGTCCATTTGAAAACAACTTTGCATTGTTTTGCTCCTAGATTTCACTCTGTAGTTTCAGCATCCATAGAATCAGTTATGGACTCCAGTTGAATACATAGTATCAGGATCATGCATTGAACCTTGCAATATCATCAATTTTTTTATTGCAAAACTATTTAGTGGTTATGAAGATGTTATCTGCAAGGTCTGTTTGCCTTGACATTTCTGTGGATTGATTCTTTCATGTCCCTGTTGGGTTCATTAAAAACAATTTCATGGATTTATTCTGCCTTTGTCTCATCTTTCTTACATTTTTAAGTAGAAACCGATGTCTCCCTTCAAATTTTTTTACAGTTATTGCATTCCTTTCCTTTGTCAAATATTTGAGTTCAATGACCTATCTCTCAAATTAAAACTTTATGGTGAGATGTTGAAATGGGAAAAAAAATTCAGGTGTTATGCTGACTCATCGAAATTTTGAATAATCATTCTTATAGCACTATTATGTTCTTCACCTATTGGATTCATTCAGTTTATTGGTTTTATTTACTTGGAATGGAAACTCAATTGTTCTAATGCAATGCAACCATTTTGGGTTGTGATTAGAGGTGGAACAAATGGGCCGTTAGGCAGGTCAACCTAACCCGCCCGCATTAGAGATGGTTCGACCCGACTCACATTAGAGAGGGTTCAACCCGGACCGCCTTATAGGCCGCCGAGTTGAACCCAACCCACTGCAACCCTCGGGCGGGGCGGGTTGCTATATGGCAACCCGCCAACCCGACGGGTTGCTATTTTGTTTGCATTACCAACCCGGCGGGTTGGCCAAAAAAAAAATCATTTTTTTCAAGTTTCCCTCGTTTTTTTAATCTTTTAATTAAACTATTTGTGAACTCTTACAAATAATTACACAATAATATAAACTATACTTCTAAATCATAATATTAAAATGTATAAACTTCGTAATATTTGACATATTATTATTATTATTTTTCTAGTACGTAAATATAAAAAAATAATACTAAGTCTTATTCTCAAATTTCCTTGTCTTGTATAAAATATAATTTATTCTTCTGCTAAAGTTTCATTAATTGAATGAATAATCTAATTTTTCTTATATTACAATTTTATGTTTAAAATTGAATTTATTTGAAATTTAAACAAAAAATTTAATTTAATTTAATTGAATTATTGATATTTGAAAAGTTAACTAAAACAATTACATTTTCATTTATAAATTGTTAATTTTTATTTGAAAGTTAAATAAATAAACAAATAAAATAAAATAAAATAGGCTAACCCGCCCGGCCCGCAGCCTAACCCACGGGTTAGGGTTGCCGGTCAGGCTAGGCTAGCCATTTCCCCAAAAATGGCGGCCTAACCCGCCTGCCTTTGTTGGCGGGCGAGTTAGGACCAACCCACCTAATTAAGTAACCCGCCGCGGCCAGGTCGGGTTGGGCCAGGCCGGCGGGTTACTTTTCCACCTCTAGT